ATATATATTAATTATTAATAAAATTATTTAAAATGGCTATGGTTATTTTTTATGAAAAGACTGGAGTGCCGTAATAGGAGTTACAAGAGAAAAATGTTCAACATTATATATAAAAAAAAAAAAATTATTTTAACGTTTTTTCCTTTGTTCTATAATTTTGTAAGTTTTCATTATTGTTTTTTATATTAAAATAAATATATATACAACTGTACCTTATCTTTCTCAATCGGTATTTCAATTGTATCTACCAAATCAATATAAAATAACGTTTTCTCATTGTGTCTCATTCTCTATCTCTTTTATCTTATCTTTTTATTAGGTATCTTTACGAACAATTTTTTTTTTACGCTCGGTTAACCATTCTTTTTCACGAAAAAAAGTTGTTGAATATATAATATATTCAACGACAAATTTTGTTAAATTCATCAAACTGCCTTCAATAATAACAACGACTTGTTCTTCCGTGGCTATTCCTGCCACCAAAACAAAATCAACCACCACAATTTGTCATAAAAGAAGTTGTTCAATGCAAATTCAATCAACAAACATGATTCCCGATGATAATTTAAGTGGTATTATACCGGGTCTTCAATATGCTCCAAAAATTTGTGTTGATTATCTCTCTCATGAATGGACTCAAGAAGATGATATTTGGACTTCTTGGAAAGTAATGTCAAAACAAAAAAAGGAACTTTCAAATGGAATGCGACTTGAAAATGCTTCTTGGAGAACCTGGGCAAAACAAAAATATAACCTTAAAACCGTTAACCCTAAAAAATTAAATTGGTAAGTTTTTTTTTAAAAAAACACACACTACATATATATATAATCATTACTTTGGTATTTACTTTATACTTTATAATTTATAATTAGGTTAAAAGACAGCGATGTGACTTGGCTATATGGGCCTTTACATACGGCTTGGACAAGTAATAGTGAAACTTCACCTAAATTACAAACTACTGAGGATAAATTAAATCTCTTGGCATCAACAACATCTACAAAATCATGTTTAAAGAAAAAATCAATATCAGAAATACTGCGCCCCAAAGGAAGATATGGTCCTTTAGTATCAAGTAATTCCGATACTCAATTATATAGAAGGGACAAAGAAAAGGATCGGGATAATGATTCAGATGCAAGTGATTGTGAAACCGCCTCAACTTGTTCTTCAATATCCGGGCCAACAACCCCAACGACAGGTCCAACAAAATTACCCGTTGAAAGAATTAACCGAAAAATTCAATTCAACGATCGTGTTGAACAATGTATTGCCGTCGAAAGTGATGACGATGTTGATGAATTAAATGATTCAGATAGTAGTAGTGATGATGGAATATTGATGAAAAATTCTCCTCCAAAAAAGAAAAATAGAGATTTATCAACAATATGTAAATTGGCTCCAACAAAATTAAAAGAGGATCGTATTCATAACAATGAATATTCTTCATTATATTCAAGTTCAAGACGTCGAGCAAATTCTTCAAATTCATCATCATCTTCGAGTACTGTACCATCAACATCAACATCATCAACATCAACAACAACAACAACAACAACATCAACATCAACATCAACAACATCATCATCTTCACAAGATCAGTCTTGGATGTATGATGACGACGATGATTTAGATATAGATCTAATCGATTTCGATATTCCTACATATCATCATGCTGAAGCCATAATACCACCGCCAAATAATTTCAATGAAGATGACGAAGAAGACAAAGATGATATTGTAGATAAGGCTGTTAATATTGCCAATGGTGTCCGAGAAATCATGCATTGGTGTTCTGATATGGTTCTCAAAGGACGAATTTTTTAATGAAGAATTGATAGGATACAAAGGGTGATCAAAAAAAAAACCGGAATGAAATTTTAAGCCCTTTCAATCTCTTCATTTTAAATTGTTTATATTTTTCATCCCGTGACCTTTTTTTAAGATAACCTTTTTTAAGATTTCATGATTTTAAATATACATTTAATTAATTATATTAAAAAAATTTTACGATTTTAAAACCATGGACAATGAAAAAATTTACAGTAGGATTATATTATCACAAAAAAAAGAAATAATTATAATTATAAAATCATGCTTTAAAAAAAAAAATTATTGTTTTATTAATTTCAAAAAAAAAAAAAAAGATTTAGAATTTGTTATAAAAATATACACATTATGTTTTTTTTTACCACATGAGAAAAAAAATACAAATCAATTACAAGATTAAAAAAAAATGTAAATAATATCTAGGTCTAGACTTTTTATATATATATACACCTGTCTCTTATACACATCTAGATGTGTATAAGAGACAGGTATTATTCTTTATTCTTATTCACGATCTTCACCAATTTTTTATAAAAAGTGAAACAACGGAAATCGAATAAAAAAAAAAAAAAAGCCAATTAACCCATATAATTTTTTACTAAACTAAATAAAGAACGCGTCTAAAATATATGCGAGTAGATGT